GGTATACTTATGATGAAAATTACAGGCCTCTCTCATCTTTTTAAGTGGGAGAACTTGCACAATTGGTGGCTGACTAAATACTTTTTTGCCCCACTGTATGCCAGAAACATGAATCCTTGGTAGTCATCCAGCTTGATTGGTAAAATTTCTAACTCTGGGTTGAGTGGCAATCATATGTATTCTATATTTTAAAAATTCAAGAGTTCTTAATAAGTATTCTGCATGTTAAGGTTTGTGTCTCATAACAGTTGTCTCATAATCAAGCTTGTGCAAATCTTACATTTTGCTTTTTGCTTTCCAGATCAGTACATGCCACCAACTGCTTCATCCTCTAGTCTTGCAGCTTCTTGTCAAGCTCTTTGAGACTGAGCACTCTCAGCTTGATGTCATGGAGCAGGTGAAGAAAACTCAAGAATTTGGGATTCTTGACTGTTGAGACTTTTCATGGTGCATCCTGAAGCTGATTATTTTATGAAGTAGCTGAAGTATCTTGCCTGCTTGTAAAATTAGAATTCACGAGAACATGAAAGGGCTGGAAATCCTTAGGTTCATAGAATGTTAGAGTCAAAAGGGAACTTGGAGAACATGTAGCCCAACCCTCTCCCCAGTGTAGAAATCCATTACTACAGAATCCTCCAAGAGTTAAACATTTCCTAAGAATACTCTTGAAATATCCATTTTCAGAACCTAACATGATCTATAAGAATTATTTTTATTTAATGTAAAAAATGAATGGTGAGGTCCAACCTTACTTGGAAGTCTGTAATTAGTGTAATTGGCTCTCTTTGTTCTTAAATATTGACAAGGGAAGATGTATCCCTGAGTATTGTCCACAGTTCCAGTTAAATACTGAAGATGCTTCAGGAGGAAACTCTATAACTTATATTTCCAAGGTCCAGGGGTATTCAACTGAGTTTGCTGGTCATGCCCTTCTTTGCATAGTGTTTAAAAAACCTTAGTCAAAATTGTAAAGGGTCAGGATTCAGAATGGGAACTCTTTTTTTCTGTTCTTTTACTTTATTTTTCCATGTTGTGGAAAAGCTGCAGCTATTTCTTTCATCAATAGAGGGCACTCTGACCCAGATTTTTTTCTTGCTCCCTCTACAGATAAAATAAAAAACACTGAATCTTTTTTTTTTAATGGTGGAAAGAAACATATCGAAGAAGAAAGTCATCAGAATAGGTTGAGCCAAAATATGTGGTGGTGAGGATGACGATTTCATTTGCGTGTTTTCATGGCCCAAATTTCATCCCTCAACCAAGAATGGGTACGATTGTTAAAGGGGTGCAGTGGTTCTGCAAGGTTTATGTTACCTCTTAAAACCCCAAAATGCCTCTGTAAAAAAAAAATCCACAAAAAACAACACAAACGTTTTGTCCCTGTGGAGTATATTTTTTCCACCCATGCCATAAACAGAGGAGAAAACTATTTTTTTATGGGGCCAAGAAAATACATTCTAGGAGGTAGTTCTCCTTGATGGATTATCTTTCATCTCTGCTGTTGTAAGCATGCCAGAAATTGCACTTGAATAATATTTTCTTAAACAACAATGGAAATTGCTACACAACTTCATGGACGTAGGATACCTCGAACTTCAAATATTCTGCGGCCTTCTGTTCTTTCAGTTGGAGCTTAAGAAGACTCTTCTGGACAGAATGGTTCACTTGTTGAGTCGTGGATATGTCCTCCCAGTGGTGAGCTATATCCGGAAATGTCTGGAGAAGTTGGATACGGATATATCTCTGATCAGATACTTTGTGACTGAGGTCAGTGAATGTTTGTTTGGATAGCTAGAGTTTTAAAATGTTATTCAGGTGGATCAATTGGCAGTGATCATTTCGGCCAGTAAGCTTAAAAACTATAAAATGGTTACTTGGTTACACAATTATTTAAAATTGTATAATCAGATTCCTGATTACATGTCTTCAAAGTGACTTGGCTTGGATTAAGACAATAGAAAACAAAAGTCCAAATATAAATGTATACAAAGTATTTAAAAGCCTAGGAAAATAAAAGTGTTACTTGACATCTAAATAAAAAGAAAAATGGCAGTCAAACATAATTGTTAAAAGAGTAGCATGGTGATGGGAAGAAAACAGGTTCAAAATGGTACCACAAGAAGGGTTCTAAGAATCCCCATGTTTCAAGACCAAACTCTTCACTGTAATTTGTTATAGGAAGGTAAGTCTCCTCTAATAGTTAAAATACTTCTGGGGAAATGTTCTGTATGTACCTGTAATAGTTCCATTTCTAAATGGTGGGACGATTGAGCAGTTTTGCTTTTTATACAAGTAAACAAATAGATCCTGTATATAAAGGGGATAGAATCTGTTGATCACATTAGATTCTAAAATATTTAATACAGAGAAATAGTTAGGCCCTTACTTTGACAATGCAGTTATACAAATCTTGGGAGTTTGCAAAGATGAGTAAGTGGAAGATATATGTCTGTTGATCACTTAGGATAATTTGACAAATGATGCCCAATTTTTAATTAATATCAGATATAATTTGAACAGGCCCAGGTTGGGAATAGCTCAAATATTGGATAAATATTTTTCCTTCAGTTATTTTTTCAGTTATAATTTGGTGGAATGATGGGCAATGCTGATGCTTGTTGGGTGTGTAAATACTACAATTACAGGTCATCGAATTTTAAGAGTTGGAAGAGACCTCTGAGGTCTTATAGCCCAACCCTCTTTGTGGTGCAGGATCTCCTAAAGCATTTCAGACAGACTACCCAGCCTCTGTTTAAAGACCTCCAGTGAAGGGGAAGAGACCACTTCTTAAGGGAACCTATTCCATTCGCTGATACCTCTTGCAAGAAATTCCTCCTAATATCTAATCTGAATCTACTTGCTGACAGTTTCAGTTCCCCTCAATCCTCCTGTGGCATTTGGTTTTGGTTCTGCCCTCCAGGATGATGAAGAAGTACACTCCTTCCTCTACAGGACTACCTTGCATATATCTGAAGACTGCTATCATATCTCTCCTCAATCTTAAACATGATCATTCTTTTAAGTGTTCCTCATAGGACTTATTTTCAGTCCTCTTACCATCTTGTTGGCTTCCTCTAAACTTGCTCCAGTTTGTCAGTGCCTTTTTTAGAATACAGTACCTAGACATGAACAGAGTATTCCACGTGGGGCTTGACCAAGGCAAAGTAGAGTGGGATCATTACTTTATGAGTCTGATCTCTATGTTCCTGTTAACATGTCCCAAAATAGCACATACCATTTTAGCAGCTGCATCACAGCTGCAGTTCCCTCAATCCTCCTGTGGCATAACAATAACCAACTGGAATCTGCTTCCCTCTGGGAGAAGACAGATACAAAAAATGAAGTATGAAGTTCTACCACCATCAGCTGCATCACAGTTGCAGTTCCCTCAATCTTCCTGTGGCATAACAACAACCAGCTGGGTTCTGCTTCCCTCTGGGAGAAGACAGATACAAAAAAAATGAAGTATGAAGTTCTACCACCATCACTGTTTTACCACTTCCTTCTCCCAATGGACCTATTAATATCAATATTAATGTTTAGAGTTTTGTACTGATTGGCAGTTATTTCTCAAGAGATGTAATGAGTTTAGTTTTATATACTCAATTATTTAATGAAATAATGAATTTTAAATTTTATGACAATTGTAAATTTTGTTTACTGGTATCTTATTCTCCATTCACTATGTCTTTTCTTATTTTTTTCTTTTGTGTAGCAATTTATTTTCTAAATGTTTTAAAATAAAATTACTTCCCCCCCCCCAAAAAACCCAATGAAGCCCACAGTCTTTTGCTGCTTTCTGATTTCATAGTATGTCTTTTCTTATTTTTTTCTTTTGTGTAGCAATTTATTTTCTAAATGTTTTAAAATAAAATTACTTCCCCCCCCCCCAAAAAACCCAATGAAGCCCACAGTCTTTTGCTGCTTTCTGATTTCATAGGTACTGGACGTGATCGCTCCTCCATATACCTCTGACTTTGTGCAGCTTTTTCTTCCAATTCTGGAGAATGACAGCATTGCAGGAACAATTAAGACGGAAGGCGAGCATGACCCAGTGACCGAGTTTATAGGTAAAATCTTTCCTATACAGTATTTTTATTTCATTAGATAGCATCACTGAAGCAGTGAGCATGAAACTGAGCAAACTCAGGGAGGCAGTGAAGGACAGGAAGGCCTGGCGCAATATGGTTCATGGGGTCACGGAGAGTCGGACACGACTGAACAAGAAGAAGATTTTTATTTCAAGTTGGCAACCTGTTTATGTGCATGCAGGCACCCACATATCAAAGAAGCTACCCCAAGAGTTTCTGAGAAAAATTTCCCTTCAATTGTTTTCAACTGAAAGGGTAAGCTATTTCTGAGGTAGCAGCAATTTCATCTTTTCAGGGTGTTTGCTGGACTGCAGGAAAACCTGCATGAGACATGTGTGTCTGCAGGGTACAGTGAAAAAGGCCAAGATGGGTGCCATGATATGGTGCAATCAAAGCTCTGCACACAGTGCACATTAAAAAGGGGTGGAGCTATGATCACACTGTCGTGGCTTCCATCTTGACTTTTGACCGTGGACACGCCTGAAGACTTGCAAGCATGTTGAATTAAGGCTAAGCTTGCAGGAGGAGAGCTGTGTTGGTCTATAGTCTAAGCAAGTTTTTCTTAAAGTATGGTCCTACAACCCCTGGGGGTCCCCCAAGATTCTCTCTCGGGTCCTGGAAATCAAAATCATTTGCCAGCCTACAGTGCTAAAATCCCATCAAACAATTGTGAGAAGTGGTAGCAGCAGTGAATTCGTCAATTTAAATTTTTAATAGAGTAAATATTGACAAATATAACCCATACAAACAAAAGATCTCTTGGGGTCCTCTATAATTTTTAAAAGTGGGAAAGGTTCCTAAGAGAAAAAAGTTTAAGGAACACTGGTCTAAGCTATAGATGTGCAGATCACTAAAATTCAGGAGTTGGAACAATCAAGTGACATCTTAAAAGATTAACTTTTGTAGCGTAAACAATTGTAAAAGTGCTGTGGAGATTTATTTATTTATTTCATTAAATTTATTATAGCCACCCATTCAGCAGACTCTGGGATATGTGTATGTGGCTGTGGAGAACTGGAGAATATTTTATAAGAATGTATTAAAGCATTAAAGAATTCATACAGTCAGACCCTGTTTTCCATTTGAGTCAACAAGGTTTATGCACATACATTCTACCCTAAACCAACCTGTCTTTCTTTCGTTTTCTTTAAAGCTCACTGTAAATCGAATTTCATCATGGTCAGCTGAACTAGGGAAGAAATTCCAAATCCTGAAGCCACTGGTGATCAGGCCCCTCTCGTGCTGCACAAAGAAAACTGAAATGGTTTGCTGATCGGTTTCAGGTTAAGTAGGAGCTCACACCGGTCAATTTTATTTATGTAGAAAGCAGTCACTGCCATGACTTGTCAATACTTCAAACCTTGGTCCTCTTGAAGAAGAGCAGAAAGGATGGTGGAGGTTGCCTGCTCCAAGTATATGACCTAGCGAAATATGATAGCAATGATATTCTTAGAGATGGTTTCTTGAGAAATTCATTGTTTTAGTATACAACTGGTTACTTCTAGTAAGTAGAGCTGACACTGTGTTATGAATTCTCTCTGCTCTCTGTGTTCCAGTCAGTTCTGTAGACTGGAAAAGCAGTGCATTAATTTCTCATACCTGCTTGATTCTTGACAATCCTATAAATTTCTGGCGAAAGTATGTGTCAGATCTGCCCTATCTGAAAATACCCTTACGTGAACCGTCTCCAACCTGGACACCCTTAGATGTGGTGGGACTACATTTCCCATCCTTTGGCAGACCCCAAGCTGGATAAGTCTCTTTATGATGGCTCTATGATAATATTGTAGCTTGTAAATCAACCATCATGGATGATTGCTGAGAAACTGCACTATGCTTAGTGACTGTTGCATTCCAGTTCTGAATCCTTTTAAAAAAGAAAATCATTTGTGCATCACAAATGTTTATGTTTGCAGACCTTAGCAAAGAAATACAGGTATTTTGGGTTCTTTTAGGAGAAAATATTAAAATATTAACCATTATCAGTAAGTTTCATTACTTTGAGAGAAATATATATATCTACTGTTACATTTCTCTAAATGCATAGAAGCATATACAGTAATGTATAACTTTTCAGGCCTGCCTTCTTGCTGCATGTCAGATGAGTGAGAAGTATGACAGCTTGTAATTTTTAATAAATTTTCTTTTGGGTAAAAAGTGTTGCACTTGTTGAATGTATTCTTCACTGTCTCAATTTGCGAGGCAAACAATGACACTGGGGAAAAATACTGAAAAGATGCTGTACTGGTATAGTTTTTAATAAGTGGGTAGAAAAATAGACATAAATCTTCCTCATATATTGGCTGGGTTTACACAAAATGTTGAACTATAATGTTAACTGAGTTTACTGGGTTTTGTGAATCTATCCAATATGGCTTATGAGCCATAGCTTATGATGTGTGTTTTGCAAGTTCAACAATATGTTTTTTTCAATAAATCATGGTTTTGTTAACTGTGATTTAGCACAATGGCAAATCAAAACAGCACCATCCTGTGAGATTTAACAATCTCATCTGGCTTCTGGCATTTTTAAAAAGAATCAATTAACTGGGGGGCACGAACATTGCTGACTTTTAGAAACTACAACCATTAACACATTTGCATTTACTGGCCCGAGTCACAAAACCCAAGTTGCTATTTCATGTCAATACTGAGTATTAAAACTTGGATGCACATCCACAAAAGTTCACTGACTTGGAACACTTTACTGCTTACCCACAATTCATTGGATAAACAAATGTTTATTGCATACACCAATCCAGAACCAAATATACCATCTTATGGCTAAGTGCAGTATGTGAACCCAGACTGTGAGGGGGAAATGCTTCTCTGAAGGCAAGATCTTAAGTGTTTGAGTATGTGCCATCAGGTTAGGGCCAGCTCTTCATGACCTCTCCAGGAGAGAGAACTCATGCAAGATTCTTACGTGTTTACTACCTAACAAACATGCGACAAGAAAACTGTTGGCACAACATGCCCACATGTATTCCAAGAAGGCTTCTATTAGCCATGAATTGAGGTCTGCTAGTTTCCCGGCAAAGACTGGATTTGCACAGTATGCTACAATAAAATGTGGTTGGCTAGTTTGTTGCTCTTAGTATCATATGAACCTAAGTGTAGTTAGTCTATAATTCAATGTATTCTGCAAATCCAGAAAATTAATTTAGTAAACCATGATTGAGTAAACCACAGGTTGGCATGTTGGCCAAACACATCCAAAATTTAGTCATGTAATCCTCACTGCAAGGAACCTGACACTGCAGATTGATGGTGGGTATGGATTTTGCTGGATCACAAAACTAGGAAGCATTAGTTTTGCAATAATCCAGTGGTGTTTCTGCGTAAGCAGAGTTCAGCAGTAGCTCAGCCTTCCTTGGAAAAGTACCTGCAAGAAGCCCAGTTAAGAGTTTCCAAAGTTCAGGAAGAAGAGGAGGAAAAGCAACCCCTGTCATCTCACGAAGACAACTGCTAGGTTTTCAGAGTGCTGCTAGCGGCCAAATGAGAGTTAGGCTTGCCACTGAAGCTTCTGCTTGCAGTTTTTGATGAGACGAGCCAGATAAGGATTAGTCCAGCACCAAATGGTCTCAGTGAAGAAGTGTACTACAGCACAGAGGCCATTGGTGTTGCAAGCCACAGGTTTCTCCGCTGGTATGCCCAACTTGAATCCTTAGACTGCTTTTAAGTTGAGCAAAGTGCACATTACAGCAAATGCAGTTTTGGTTCCTCCACTTAGGGTGGCTCAAATTCTTGTTCAAACAGGAATGAGGAAGCAGATTTATATATCCGTATCTCCTATTACCCAAAGCTGTTTGCAGCAAATCATCACAAAGAGATCAACACCCAGTAAAAATTACAGAGCCAGTTTGGTGGTGTGGTTAAGGCATCAGGCTAGAAACTGGGAAACTCTGAGTTCTAGTCTTGCCTTGGCCACAAACCCAGCAGGGTGACCTTGGGCCAGTCTGCCTCAGCCCTAGGAAGGAGGCAATGGCAAACAGCTTCTGAAAACACTGCCAAGAAAACTGACTTGAAGGCACCAAATAAATAAATAAATACAGAACCAGATATGGGGGTGAGAGGAGGGAGGGAGCATGTGGCTCTGTTCAATTAAAAAAGGAAGGAAGAAAAGGTTCTTAACTAGTGGATTTAAATGCTTTTTAAATCATATCCAGTGTTGCTCTGAAGTGAAGACCAGACTATGCAGCTCTTGAGACAGGTAAGAGGCCAACCTTCACTCATTTCTTTCAATCAAACAAATTCTGGCAGATACTCATTACTACAAGTTTCTTGCACTCCCTTGCTGCTCCTCCCTTCACCAGCATTAAGTAATGAGCAAAGGGCCTATGTAAGAAATGAGCAGAGAGATTGGTCTCAAGCATTATAGAGCCAGAGGACGCTCCTACCACAACTTCGATAATTATCTCAGCGCAAGGCTCCATCTAAGGCTTGGCTTAGCCCCAAGATAAATTTGCTACTCAGTACATATGAAATGAGAATCAATTTGGTGTAGCGGTTAATAGCACCAAAGCTAGAGGCTGTGAGTTCTATTTCCGCTTTAGGTACAGAAGCCAGCTGGGTGACTTTGTGCCTGTCCCTCTCAGCAATAGGAAGAAGGCAAGGGCGAGAGAAGACTCTCCAGAGCAGCCAGCCTTTTAGTGAGATCTCTAATGGACCTTGGTGAAGAAGCAAGTTCCCCGTGCTCCTTGGGTACTATACTGTGCATGGGAACATTTCGCCAGAAAGCTCTTTGGTTGTGCTTAATGAATATAATGCCTGGCCTTTATCCCTTGGCCTCTATACGCTGCTGTATCTGATGTGTATCCATAGTCATAAGGTCTTTTGTTAGAACCTGGGAACATAACACAGATTTACTGTTACTGCTCAGTAGCTCACAAAAGTCTTCGTTTAGATTAAAAGAAGATCAACCAATATGATCAATCATATTTTTTTTCTGTTACAGAGTAACTTTATTACAAGGATTTCAGGAAGAAATCCTCATCTATCAAAGACAACATGCAAGCAACCTAGTCAGTCTTTCCCTCCACAGCAGCCTAGGGTCTGTCCATTCACTACGTAGGATAAGGAATTTGGCATCCATATTCATTTCAGACATGTTTTAATATAAAATAATTTAAGAAATCTGCCCCCAAATGTTACACGTTTTAAAAAATTAAACATTATTTGTATATTTATTATAAAACTAATTGTTTAAGTCACAGCTCACTTCCATTTGAAAAACAGTACAAGGTTTTCTCAGCACAATCAGTAAACTCATTCTGATACTTTATGCAAAATCTTTAATGAAAAAAAAATCATGACAGTGAAGACTCAGTTTAGTTACCAGTTCATATGTTGTCAGCTGATCCTGCAGAAAAAGCTGTTTCCCCTTCAAAAATAAAAGACTGAAAAAATTCTTGCATTCCAAACAGCACTGATTCAAGGAAGAATTGGGTCTCCATATGTACACTGTTGTTCAATGCCCAGGTTATAGTCTTCTCCTCTCCCACCTTTATAAGTGCTTGTCACAATACGCAGCCACCCTTTTTCACCCTGGAATCACAAATATAGGCACATCACAAAGAATTCTGGCTCAACCCACGTTCTCATCTTACAGCTTTGCTCAAAAAGTGCTATTTAAGCCTTGATTGTGCATGTACCCGGGGAAAAAAAACAACCCAAGGGGATCCAGTAGCAAAAAAATGCAGTGGGCCAACAATGCAGTGGTGCAGGATCTGCCCCATTGTTCCATATCTGAAGCAGCCACTTTTGATGATGAACTGGAATACCCAGATGAACTGGGACCAAGACTTCACCTCCTGTGCGTCTCCCTTGCTCTGACCACTGCTTTGCTGCATCTGAATTGCCTAGCTCTCCTTGGCCAGCCCGCTACCAGCATGGTTTTGAGGAGGTCTGGTGTCTGTGAGGACAGGGACTACAGCAGACACTTCACAACATATCATTCTGAAGGTCCTCTTTAAGCAATGCAGGGGATGAAGCAGGCCCTCCTGCCATCTCTCATGATGACTCCTTTCAATTTTGGTGCTTATGAGCTGGGAAGGCCTGAGGCTCTGTTGACACTCAAGAGGTACTATTGACCTAAACAGGCCCATCATCTGGTTCTACAAAATCAGTTCCTACATTCCAGCACTGCCCAACAACTCCAGCTCCTTCTGCTATACTTTCCATGCTGTTTTCATCAAAAGGCCTTTGTGAGATTCAGATACACATCTTCGTTACTTAAGGAATCATTTAATGCAACCAACAGGGACAAGAGTCCTGCAGGAGCGCCTGCTGCATCCAGAAACCTATGGATTCATCTTCTGGCTTCGCTGGCAGCAATGGGTAGAAAAACAATTAAAGCAGCTCTAGGTCAGATGTAAGGTAGTTGTGGGCCAAGCCAGGGCTACATTTATAGATCCCTACAGATTTAAATCCCTGACATGCCAAAGATTTCTGCTCTTGTGCTTATATCACAGGATAATCAATGGCTCTCCACCACTGAAAGAACTCTGGCGAAGAGGGGTTCACAAGAGGTGTAGGGTGGGGGTGTGAAAATGTCAAGGTAGCCTTGCAGTTGTGATGAAGGCCTCTTTCTGGAGTGCGGCTTGGATTCTGTGGTCACAGTTACCATCTTCACACATACATACATACATACATACATACATACACACACACACACACACACACACACACACACACACACACACACCATGCTTGTGGACACCCCTTCTCCTCGCCTATCTGTAGTCTCACTGCTAGCTTCCAGGCCACTAAAAATTTCTCATTTAGGTCAGGGAGTTTTAATGATGTGCTGAGATCACACATCAAACTGCCCTGATGGAGACCAGATCAAATACTACAATTGATTTAATTTCATTTAAATTTGCTGTATCTTTACTTTCTTGACATGTATTTAAGCATTTTCCTCTTTTGCCACACTCAAAATTACTATTTGGTGAATACCTTTGCAGGTCTCTGAAGGCGGCAACCAAGGGTTTGGTGGAGGTTTCTGATTTATGGAAATTAAAACCAACCTCTGCCCTAAGGTGGAATGTGCGCTGTAATATCCCTCAAGGTTTTTTCCTTAAAAGGAAGACCTTGCTTCTGCTTACCCATGGCTCGCCCCAAGAGTTCCGGACAATCCAGTACTCAGTTCCATCTTCCACATCCCAACCAGCAAC